TATATATATATATATACACTATTTATTAAGGGCTTACCATGAGCCAGAGTCTTAGCAAAGACTTTTTTTTGTTTGTTTTTTGAGAGATTTAGCTAAGACTTTTAACCACATTTTCCCTTGAGGTCCTCGGCAGCATTCCCTGGAAGAAGATAAGCACTCCCCAGTTAAGACACAAACAAGGCTTAAGAGATTCTAAATTGCTTAGCCTGGGGTCACACAGGTAATGGGGCAGGAAGTTGCTCTTAAAAATGAACTTAGTTCTCACTCTGCGATGGTGAGATCCTATTCCTCCTTTTTCTTTTCTCTTACTCTAATACCCTGCGGGACTGTGGCTGGGGGGGGGAGGAACCTTTGTTGACCCTGTCCCAAAATTTAGCTGACCTTGGGACTCCTCAGGAAGGAAGGGTTTCAGGTCATCTTTTCCTAAATGCTTGGTAGTCTTGCGGTCCTAGAACTAAAGGCAGAACTAGCTGCAGAGCCTTTAAGTTCTTTCCTGGACTTAACGGGTGATCTGGGCTCGGAATGAAAAATAGAATTGTGTGACTTGCTAGGATTATAATTATTATTGCTCCTGCTGCCTGAAGGTTTGAGTTGAGGTCAGTTTGAAAGGTCAAACTGAATTGTGTAGTGTTACTTATGGACAAATGAATACAAAAACCTTCTTAGTAGTCATGAGCCTTCCATAAAAGATGATAAAAGTGACTATGTAAGGGGGCAGCAGATGGCATAGTCGCTGGATTCCCACGTAGTCAACTGAGTTTGAGTCCTGGCCCAGGAGGCTTAAAATTTCTCATGGGGGTGCATGTGGGGGGGTGCATGTGGGTGGGTGCCTGAGATCCTAAGAGGAAAATGAAGGAGAAGGCATTGCACCACGGCCATCCCCCTTAGGGGATTATTTCTCGTTTTCACTCTCTCTGTCTCTGTCTCTCTGGAGAGCACACATGTCCTATAGCAAAAATATCTTTTAAAAAAGTGACTGTCAAAGTACCATGCTTTCTTCTGTTGCCATCCACACAGCTCCTGGGTAGTACAGTGATTACATGATCCTGGACTCTTGGTAATCACTATATTGTTAAGGTACCCTTAGATGAGAACGGACTTGAACTACTTCTCTTTCAAGTCTAACCTGAATATCCCACTGCAGCCTATATCTCCTTCTGCTTATGTAGTTTTAGTGAAACTAGAAAGCAACACAAGGAAAAAGTTTCCATAGGGCATTAAGTACAATCTAGAATCTAGGGTAAGGCCCTGTCTCCCTCCTGCCCATATTTTCTGTACAGTTAGCTTCATTTATGTGAGAATACGATGGTAGCCAAACTTTTAAGAGTAAGGTCTAGGCCCAGACTCTCTGGTGCAGTTGCAGACCTACCAGACTGCAGAACTGTGAGCCCCATGCCAACCATGGTTTGAGTCCTCAGAACCGTCCTCCTGAAAAAAATGAAAAGCATATGTACATATCTAGACAGGATCCTGATAGACTAGAGAACTGGAGAGAGTGGATCGGAGCATAACTGAGCCCTATGGAGGATGTTTCTCTCTCTCTCAAATACATGCATATGCTCTAGCATGAATCTTGAAAAAAAAAATCTGATTTCAATTCACTTTCATCATAGAAACATATATATATATATACATACACATATATAGATATAGATATATGTCACATGTGTATCCATATTTATGTGTATGTGTGTATAATATGTACTTAAAAGTATTGTCTTGGGTGTGTCCTGGCACATTTGGGTACCAAGGCAACTGAAGCTATACTCTAAATCCCATCTTCTAGACCCCAAAACACTGAGACAGGTAGAGTGACCTCTGTCCTCTTTCTGTCTCTGTCTTTCTCTCTCTTTAAATTTTGTACTTATTTATTTATTTTAATTTTTAAAACACTTCTTCTCACCTTGGGTGTTTTCTTTCTCTTGCTAATTTCAGAAGACATTTTAAATCTGAGGTGTACCCCGGCACATTCATTTTTTACCTTTTAAAAAGGTTTTTTTTTTCCTCTTTTTGGTTGATTTTGTCTATTTTTTTCTTTCCTTTTCCTTTTCCTTTTTTTTTTTTAAACTTACTTTCCCACTCTGTGCTTCAGTCTCCACACACTGAGTATCTAGACAGGCCTAAGTGCCCCGTATCTAAGCATCTAAATACTTTTAGGGTCATTGAAATCCTCAATGTTTATTGAAACTCCTGCTTTAAGGAAGAAACTCTTTTTCATAAATCTGAATTCAAAATCTTTCTGTGGATACCACGTTGTAAAACACAGTAGAGAGATTTTGTCACAGAATGACCAGAAACCACTGCAGAGGCACAAGAAATATGAGAAATCAAGAAAATATTTCTCCCCTAAGGGAAAAGAACAATCCTTCATCATCCACAGACAATACAGTGGAACTCATGAGAATAGCTGATAGAGAATTCAGAATATTCATAGTGACAAAACTAAATGAGATGCAAAGAACTCTGAAAGATTTAGGAGAAAAGAGACGAGTTCCAGGAGGTGAGGAAGTTCTTACATTATCTGAAAGAGGAAATACACACCATAAAAAAGAATCAAATGTTAGAGATGATGTTAGATGTTAGAGATGAAGGCTGCAATACAGAAAATCAAAACCTCCCTTGAAAGTATAAAAGCAGATTAGTCCATGCAGAAGATTGAATCTTGGATGTTGAAGACAAAACCTATGACCCAGAAAGAATAACCCAAAGAATTGAGAAAATAACCAAAAACAAAAAAGTGAGGATACTATATGAGAAATACTCGATCTCATTAAGTACCCAAGCGTCTGGATAATCAATATTTCAGAAGGTGAAGAAACTAAGGGCATTGATAATCTATTACATGAAGTCCTGGAAGAAAACTTTCCAAATCTAGAAAGGCATTCAAATATCCAGACCCAAGAAATACAAAAGACCTCTAATAGAATCAATGCAAGAAAGTCGTCTCCAAGGCACATCATACCCAGATTGGCCAAGTCCACAAAGACAAGACCGGTAAGAGAGAAATGTCAGATTACTTATACAGATTATCCCATCATGCTAACTTCAGGCCTCCCATCAGAAACAATGTGAACAAGGAAAGAATGGGAAAATATATTCAAAGTGTGAAGTGAAAAACAGTTTCAACCAAGAATACTATACCCAGCAAGACTATCCTTCATATGGGAAAAAAAGATAAAAACATTCTCAGATGAACAAAACCTGAATGAATGTACCAACACCAGACCAGCTCTTCAAAAAATTCTAAATGGAGTGCTTTACCAGGAAAACTAAAGACACACATACAGAAATAAGAGAACAAAAAGCAACCAAGAAAATGACCAACTTAATGCTAGGGACAAGAAATATCAATAATAGCTTTGAATGTTAATTTCAAGGATTTAAAAAGAAAGATCGGACCACAGTAACACCACAGAAGAGAAATTAATTACATAAGACTGAACTGGTGAAATAGAACTTTTTGACTTTAAGTAAAACATTACTGATTTTTTTTTTTACTATGCTTTGTTTCCCCAATTTAAGAATTTTGCTTTCTTTTGAGCTGTTGAGTGGTGCAGCAACTTGTTAAAATGTTTTTTCTTCTTGTTTGTTTCTTTCTTTAAATGGAAACATAAAATTTTCCCCCTTCCTGACCCCTCTGGAATTGGAAGATATTTGGGAGTATTCCTATTTGTAGCAGAATGGTTATTCGCATAAGTTCAATAATACCTGTTGCCTTGAATCAGAAATTGGAAATACTTGTTATTGGACAGGGCTTTGAGTGAATGTCATATCTAAAGATTAAACCAGAAAACTATGGAACTAGGGTAGATCTCAAGTTAGCCAACAGAAGCTCTTAGAAAGATGGCCTGGCACCATAAACATCTCTGCCTGGCAGAGAGGATTAGAGAAGGTATGTGAAAGAATTCATATCATAAAATAACCTGGACTTCTCCAGTGCAGCATGATAATCAATTAAGATTGAAAAAGAGCAACCACAGCCAGAGGATTACCTTGAGGAAGACTTTGAAGGAAGAAAAAGAGACTGATCTTTGCTAGCAGATGGTATATTACAGAATACTAGGTAGGCAGAGCAGAATTGAGAAGCTTTATGTATGGCTTGAGTCCTGCATGTTTGCTTTGCAACAGTTTGAGTAGTTAACATGTAAATATTTTCTCAAAAATATTTAAAAACATATAGTCTCTGTTGTTATAGAATCACAGACAAAATTATAAGTAATTCAAACATTATCTTTAAAATTCAGTTTTTTGAAATTTTGCAAGTTGTTTATTAACTGTCAAGAACTATGGAGTATGAGCAAAATATTTTTGATATGTAAAGTAAATGTTTATGGGGAAATGTATAAATAAATAAATAAATGTTTTTTAAAAAAAGAAATATTGTCTTGATGGAGGAGAAGGAATTGTGATATGACCATACCCCATTGGGAGATATTTTCTCTCTCCCTCTGTCTCTTTCTGATGCATGAGTCCTCTGGCAATTAAAAAAAGAGAGAGAGTAAAAGTATGTCATCTAGAAAAGGTAAGTCTGGCTTACTTAGCTTGGAACCATGATTTTCATTCTTATT